TTGGATCAGTAAAGGATCAGCCCCCAGACTGAATGCGAGTTCCCAGTGCCAGCAGGAGTCCCTGGGGAGGGGCTCCTTGGATCAGTAAAGGATCAACCCCCAGACTGAATGCAAGTTCCCAGTCCCAGGTGTTACAGTAGTGATGCGGTCTATGGAAGCAGTGGAGGACATCACACATCCTGCCTGGGTCAGGAGATGAGCAGAAAGCAGTTAGCAGCAGGAAGTTAGGGAACAACGGCTGGTAAAGTTTCAGCAATATCTAAACTTCTACAGAAATCACTTTTATTACCATTCCCGTCTTACAGCTGTACGTTATTTTAATGTAGGCAGTTTCCGTAACTACTGCACTTTGATAAATAAACAAGTCGGCTCCCTGCGTTTTAGGAATCTTGGTGTCCTTGTCTGTTCCTCGATGTGTGACATTGGTGGCATCATCACCCCGTTCCTCGTCTACCGGCTCGCCGACATCTGGCTTGAGCTCCCACTGGTGGTTTTCGGTAAGAAATCCTCACAGACATTTTTAAAGTAAAATCTATTTTCTATGGACCTTCATTTCTCCACCTCAAAATATGCATCATACCTACTGGTAAATGCCAATTACTACTGGTCATTAGTAATATTATTAGTATTGGTAATACGGACCAGTAATACCAGTACAGGATTCCCAATATTATTATAGGTCATTGCTAACACTCAAGTGTGTTAGAGGCACGAGAGTGCCTTAGAGGCACGAAAGTCAGAGAATGAGAAGGCGGACTCCTCTCCTCACACTGATTTCCACCTCTCCTCTCTGTCTCCACCACAAAGCTAACTCTTCTGCCTCCTCCGTGCCCAGAGGAGTGAAACATGGAGTCCCTTTACTTCGTCCTTCAAAGAAAGGCAGTTTCAGTTTCTCAGAGGGCAATTTCAAGATCCAGAGGAAACAAAGATCCACATTAATTTTTAAAATGCATCAGCACAGTGGGGCCCCTGCCTCCCGGCCCCGGGGGCAGGTGGATCTCTGGAGCATCAGTACTGATTGCCCTCTGCCCCTGCCAGTGCAACCAGGGGACAGACAGGAAGGTAGTGGCACTCAGCCCCTCTTCCCCTCCTCCCTTCCAGGAGGACAGAAGGTGACAGAGACAAGGCTAGTCATCAGCAAGCGATGCACAGGGGCACTCGCTAAACACGAAATCTGCAACCGTGACAGAGCACTGGGGACCCTGCACACTTCTGTCCGTCCAATGTCCATGGCCTGTTCTCGCAGCTGTGGGCTTGAGACAGAGCCTCATCTGTGCATCCCCACAGGTACCTGCTCTTTGCAGATTCACGCATACAATATTCACCTTCTCTGGTTAACCAGCCCTTGGTACACCCATTTCAAGTCTCCTTTAAGACCCATTCTGAGCCACTTTTACTTGGAATATGTAGCCCTCCTTCCCTTGGGCACACAACACTCCATCTGGGGGAGGAGAGGGAAAGACCCCACTCTCAGATGCGCCCCAGGGAAGCCCATCACATCGCTCCTGCTGTGGGTGCTCCCTGCACATACCTTCCCTCTTCTCAGGGGATTTGCAAGGGGAGAACTTTCCAGGGCTGTTCATCTGCCAAAGTTCCAAACCATGGTAGAACACACCCTGAAACAAACCCAGTGAATTCCTCCACATTCCACCCGAATATCAACGAGATGGACAGAGCTGTCAGAACACAAGCTCTTGATCCTGCAGTAACCATGGTTTGGCCACAGAGTAGCTGGCTCTGCTGACAAGATGTATGCTCCCTGAATTCCTTCCTCCACTAACACTGGCTGAGGAGTCTGTCCCCAGAGCCCCCTTTTCAGGTTAAGGAAGTGCCATCACACCCTCTGGGCTCCTTTCTGCTAGGGAGAGGTTAGAGGGATACCTAGAAATCCAGGTCTCCTAGGGCAAAAGGACAGGGCAGGGCCCCGAGGCCCCCATTTTACCTTAGTCCTATCTTGAGTGATTACTACACCTCGGGAGCAGGGAACTCCCTACCAATCTACCAGTCAGAACTTAGCTGCCAACTGCAACTGCAGAGGACTCCCCAGCCCACAGGCCTGCAACAGGTGCAACAGAGTCTGGAAGGTGACCTAGAACAGCCTTAAGGCTAATTACCATGTCATTAGCATAAGTCTACATTGTGGTCCACGCCCCCCACAATGGGCTCTCAGGGAAGCTAATGGGAGGTCCCTATGAGCAGTAAGACTCTGTTTAAAAAACAACTTCTGAACCAAGAAGTAGGGCCAACCCAAGCAGCATAATACACAACCCCCAGCCACAACCAAAGCCTTACTTGTTGCAACAATGGAGGTTCATTCATTGTTTATAGCAAAACATATCTTTCTCTGTAAACCTATCTTCCTCTTTCTCAATAAACTTCGTTTCACACTAGCCTGACTCCGGGATATCTGGTCATTCTTTGGCCAAGAGCACCCCAAAATCAAGGATGCAGAGATACCTCAATGTTAGCTACACCCCTTGGGTGGACAATGGGTGGCAGGTGAGTCAGAGGGATACTTCTGGGAAGCAAATAGATACTTCACGTTTGTCTAAGTACTGTTTAACAGAGCAGAAAGTTAAAGTCCAGACCCAGAGGAACCATGGCGGACCCTCATTCATGCCTCAGCTTTCCCTGGAAAAGATACTTAGGATTATAACAACATTGCGATGTTTAAAGGAAAATCAGAGACAATCCCAATTTCATTTTTGTGGGTAATTTCATCATCTTCTCTCACCAACCTTTAATCTGAGTAGTTGGCAGAAAGCAAAGCCACTAGTTTTGCATTTTAACTTCTTTCCTTTTCTCTCTACACAATTCTGGTGTGCTAATATTATGGTCTTAAAATAACCTAAACATGAGGAAATCTAAAAGTTAACACATTGGAAAATCCTGGTGGGAAGAACACTGGAAAAAATGGATAAGGATTGTCCTGGTTAATTAGGCACAGCTTTGTAAATATAAAATTCCAATGAATGATACTTTGATTAATCTATTGTACTTATCGTAGTCCCCACACTTCAGAGTTCAGATGCTTGCTGAATGTGCATATTGTTTGCATAAATTATGATACAATAACCTAGCGAATCTTGGAAGGTTTAGAGAGATTTTAAGAGGTTATTGTTTTAGCAAACACTTCCATAGTTCACACCATGTGCCAGGCACTATTCTAAGTGCTTGGCAAATATCAGTTCCTTTCTGCCTCATAACAAGCCTGTGAGGTAAGTGTGTTATTCTACTTTCCACAGAGGAATCTGGAGCAGCACAGAGTTTGCAGGACTCCCCATGACCCTAAGACGAGTAATGAGGGGAGGCAGGCTGGGACCCCAGCATCCCAAGCTTGTGCTCTGAGCCACTGTGCTCTGTGGCTTCCATTAAGGCCATGTTTTAAGGGTGCAAAAATAGAGGCCCGTATGCTCATTTTGAAGCCTCAAAACCACAGCTTTGTAACAGAGAAAACATAGAAAAATATACCTTTAGGCTCGGCACCTATGGCTCAAGTGGCTAAGGCACCAGCCACATACACCTAAGGTGGCGGGTTCGAATCCAGCCAGGCCCGCCAAACAACAATGATAGCTGCAACCAAAAAACAGCCAGGCATTGTAGTGGGCGCCTGTGGTCCCAGCTACTTGGGAGGCAGAGGCAGGAGACTCGCTTAAGCCCAGGAGTTGGAGGTTGCTGTGAGCTGTGATGCCACAGCACTCTACCCAGGGGGATAGCTTGAGGCTCTGTTTCAAAAAAAAAAAAAAAAAATATATATATATATATATACCTTTAAAAGACCAACACTTTTATTGGATTCTAAAGAAACAAAAACAACATTAAAGTATTTATTATTAAAAATGATAGCCAGATACAAGGATTAACAAGAATTTAGTGAACACCTGAGTTTGAACTAAAGGCCTGGCTGTACTTTTTAGTACCACTGTGCACTAACGCATGATTTGTTACTTTTATTTGCCGATAATGATCCAAGTTTATGACTTATTTTCATTAATAAGTTGCTTTATATTGGCAGGGCTACGTTCTTCCTTTTCATACAGTTAAAATTTTTTGAAGTTATTTTCTAACTCTGACGTATCTTAATGGCAATGTCCTTCCTCTAGCCTGGAATAACCTTGACTCAAAATGTTAAGGATTTCGTTTCCCTATAAGGAATTGTAATTCATTGTAGTTTGAAATGGGTATAATATTTATGATGGAAGGAGATGGAAAAGGAATCTGTAAATAAGTATAGAAAAAAATACCCCCCTCCAATTTTCTAAAATAGAAATAAGGGGAGCTCTAATTATAGAACCTATGTTTCAGCTCTTAACGTGATTTGCGTCTGTTTGCCTTTCAGCTGTAGTTGGCTTGGTTGCTGGAGGACTGGTGCTCTTGTTACCAGAGACCAAGGGGATGGCTTTGTCTGAGACCATAGAGGAAGCTGAAAACATGCAGAGGTAAATCCTGAAATAAACTATTTGATAAAGGTTTTGAAACAATTCCATAGCTGGTTGAAAACAAAGATGACATTGATTCCACGCCGCATGCTGCACATCCAGGTCAACGCAAACTATATCAAAGATTCAGGAGTACAAAAAATAGTGAAGACGCTAAGGGAGAATTCCTTCGTGCTTTTGTGGTGAGGAAGGTCTTTCTAAATAAGACTCCCCAGATCCGGAACCCATACAAAAAAGATCAATTCTCTTTTTGTTATTTCTGAATTTTCAAGCATATGAACCTGTTCAGAAAGGAAATATAAAAAAAGGTATCTTAAAAAAGAGAACCTATGTCTCACACACACACACACACACCCCGGCTTATTTGGGAAGTGTGCTTGGTCGCATGTTTTTATTTATTTTGTCCTTACAGTATTTTGGACCTAAAGGTGCCACAAGCTGAGATGAATTTTATCCATTCTATAAAACTTTCATACTGAGCATCTTTATTTTGGGACAAAATGTTGCTGAATTGCAGTGGTCTGGGGCTCTTCCTAGAACTTGAGCTTTAGATTGGAAGAGGCCTTGGAATCTGGCCGGAGGTCACACATTGGCAGCCTGCAGGACGCCAAGTTCTCAAATGCTTTGTTTGGCTCACACAGTATTTTTTTCTTTTAAGTGGGAAATTCCATATAAACTGGATTTCCAGGATGGTCTACTTAAAAAGTCAGAAGATTTGGTAACACTGAGCAGGTATTTCTTCTTGGCGATTTTTAGGAGCTGAGAGAGGGTCGGCTTTCTGGAGGGCATGCCGTCTGTGGCAGGCCACAGTCCCCACTGTTCCGTACTGTCTTGTGTCTGGCACATCCTATGGTCTTCTTGGTGCACACAGATATTTGAGTTTGAGACCCCATATCCAGCCCAACCATCCCCCAGCACATGCCCCATCTCAGGGTGGCTTCCCACACACATGGACACCTTCCCTCCAAGACAAGAGATGAAATCCCATTCCCTGTTGAATCCCCAGAGTTTAACACAGGACCTGGCACACACACCAGGAGCTTACCAAACATTGGTGGAATCAATGCTGGACTTCCCTGCAGCAGCATCCTAATTCAAGTTCCTCCCCAGGCAGCTCCAGGGTCAGGCAGTGACACGCCTGGTGAGGAGCAGGGCTCTATAGACGGATAGATGTCCTCACATTCACCATCTGGGTGGCTTTAAGACCTCCAAGCCTCAGTTTCTTCACCCATAAATAGGTACAACTGTATCCAATCACTGGATTTTTTAAATGAGTAAATAAGGTCATATGTATAAAATGCTCGAGAATAAATGTCCACGAGCCACTGTTATTATTCATAGAAGCTTGGATAGCTGTTCTAGAAAACAGAGAAATAAACACCTACACTATTTATTGAAATTCAAATTTTAAAATACGATCTGAGTTGATTTAAGACAGAGACGTGTAGCTCAGGGGCACACACGTGTCCCACACACATGTCCTGCATTCTCTTCAGGATGGTTCAAAGCAAGCTAAAGAGAGAGTTCAAAAGAGTGTTCCTGTTGTTCTTCTATATTCTTCCTGTTCAGGTGATCTACAAATGGTCCTATGAAGAGCTGCACTTTTCTTTTTTGTGTGTTTTACATAACCCAGTTCATTGTTCTCAGGTAGAAGATAGGTGTGTGTGAGGCTGGAGGATGGTGGGAGGCGAGACTCAGACAGGGAGGATGGGGACAGTGGGGAGAGGGGTCTGCTACAGAGGGAGGGCAGAGGCACAGCCTGGGGGACGCGGGGCTGTCTGGCAGACCACAGTTGGCACAGAGAGCTGACTCCAATTACAACAGAGTGGACACTGGCGAGAGCTGGCAGAAAAAGACAGGGCAGGACGAGAGCCTGGGGTCCCTAAGGGTGCCCGGCCTATCCTGCCGCCGAGTAGCACCTGTGTGGTTCACACTCTATGCCTCTCTCACCTCTTCAGCCTGTTTCCTTCTCTGTAAGTGAGGATAGAACGGTCCGCACTCACTGCCAGCGCTCAGCCAGCGCCCTGTGTGGTCCACACTCTATGCCTCTCTCACCTCTTCAGCCTGTTTCCTTCTCTGTAAGTGAGGATAGAACGGTCCGCACTCACTGCCAGCGCTCAGCCAGCGCCGTGCAGCCCTGGCGGCCGTTAAGTGAAGGCTTGTGGCAGCCCTGCATCGTAATTCTCAAGCATATCAAGCTTTCCCACTATTACTGTATTTGTTACAGTGATCTGTGATGTTACTGTTACAATCATTTGGGGCATCACAAACCACGTCCATTTAAAAGGGCAAACACACTGTGAATGTGGCCTGCGTTCTGGCTGCTGGCCCTCCCCGTCTCTCTCCCGCTCCTCAGGCCTCCCTGATCCCTGAAATGTAACGATATTGGAATCAGCTAATTATTAACCCTACAATGGCCTCCTAATGTTCCAGTGAAAGGAAGGGTCACACATCTCTCCCTTCAAATCAAAAGCTAGAAATGTGCAAGCCCAGCGAGGAAGGCACATGGAGGCGAGGCAGGCACATGGAGGCGAGGCAGGCACATGGAGGCGAGGAAGGCACATGGAGGCGAGACGACAGGCCGAAAGCGAGACAGGCCGAAAGCTGGGCCACTTGTGCCAGACAGTCGCCACGCTCAGAACGTAAAGGAAAGGATCTCGAGGAAGTTAAAAGGCCACTCCAGTGAATAAACACATAAATGGTAAGAAAGCAAAACAGCCTTGTTGCTGACGTGGAGAGACTAAGTGTTCTGAGTAGAAGATCAAACCAGCCACACCATTTCCTTAAGCCAAAACCTAACCCTGAACAAGGCCCTGACTCTCCTTCATTCTGTGAAAGCTGAGAGAGGTAAAGAAGCTGAGAAGAAAAACCTGAGCTTGCAGAAGTTGGTTCACGAGGTTTAAGGGAGAAGCCGACTCCCTCACATAGAAGGGCAAGGGGAAGCTGAGGTGCTGGTGGAGAAGCTGCCGCAAGTTAGCGTCACAGTGGTCCTCAATCTTCCTCACGCTGAGACCCTTTAATACGGTTCCTCGTGTTGTGGTGACCCCCCATATGAGGAGCGGTGTCTCAGTTCCTAAGACCGTTGGAAATATGTGTTTTCTGATGGTCTTAGGCGACCCCTGTGAAAGGGGAAAGGGTCATTGGACCCCCAAAGGGGTCATGACCCACAGGCTGAGAAGTGCTGATAGGTCTAAGATAACGGCCACGTGAAACAACAGTGTTCAATGTAAATGAAACAGCCTTCTACTGGAAGAAGATGCCCTTTAGACTCATAGCTAGAGAGACTCAATGCCTGGCTTCAAAGCTTCAAAAAAACAGGCTGACTCTCCTGTTAAGAACCAAGGCAGCCAGTGACTTCAGGCTGAAGCCAATGTTCTTTGGCCATTCTGAAAATCCCAGGGCCCTTATACATTATGCTCACTCAACATTGCCTGTGCTCTGTAGATGGAACAGGAAAGCCTGGATGACAGACAGCACATTAGTTTACAGCATGGTTTGCTGAATATTTCAAGCCCAGTGTTGAGACCTACTGCTCAGAAAAAAAGATTCCTTTCAAAATATTACTGTTCATATACCCATACAACGTCCACTCTGCAGCCCATGGATCCAGCAATGGTTTAATTTCAACTTTCAAGTCTTCTTATTTAAGAAATACATTCCATAAGGGTATAGCTGCCATCGATGGTGATTCTTCTGATGGATCTGGGCCAGGCAAATTGAAGGCTTCTGGCATGGATTCACCATTCTAGATGCCATTGAGAACATTCATGATTTGTGGGAGAAGGTCAAAATATCAATATTTACAGGAGTTTGAGAGGAGTTGATTCCAAGCCTCAAGGATGCTTCAAGGTGTTCTAGACTTCAGTGAAGGAAGTAACTGCAGAAGTGGAGGAAATTGCAAGAGAACTAGAATTAGAAGAGGAGCCTGAAGATGTGACTGAATTGCTGCAGTCTTAGGATAAAACTTGAACAGATGAGGAGTTGCTTCATAAGGATGAGCAAAGAAACATGGTAAACATGCCGTGAGCACTGCAGAAATGACCACAAAGGATCATGAGTGTTACACAAACTTGGCTGATAAAGCAGTGGTAGAGCCTGAGAGGACTGACTCCAGTTTTGAAGGAAGTTCTACAATGAGTAAGATGCTGTCAATCAGCGCTGCATGCTGCATGCTGCAGAGAAGTCTTTCATGAAAGAAAGAGTCACTGAATGTGACAAACATCATTGTTGTCTTGTTTTAAGAAATTGTCACAGCTACCTCAACCTTCAGCAACCACCACCATAGTTTGCCACTAGCCATCAACATCAAGACAAAACCCCCAACAGCAAAAGGATTATGACTCGCTGAAAACTGATGATTGTTAGCGCTTTTTATCAACAAAGGATTCAAAAACTAAGGTATACACATTTAAAGACATTATGCTGTTATATATTTATAGACTATTGTGTAATGTAAACATACCTTTTATAATATGCACTGGGAAAATCAAATTTTGGGTGACTCTCTTGATCGCAAAATTTGCTTTATTGTGGTGGTCTGAAACCAGATCTGAAATATTTCCAAGGTATGCCTGTATTCCCTCATAGAATCCTTGAAACAGCCCTGTAAAACTGGTATTATTATTAATCTCACAGCAACTGAAAAAGAAATCCAGGCCAGAAATATGAAAGGACTTGCTTAAAGCCACATAGTAAGTGACAAAGCCCAGGTTTCATTCCTGGCAGCCAGATTCCATGGCCCACGGGCTTCTTCACCAGCAGAGGGCTGGGCTCTCGCATGGGAAAGTGCAGTGAGTCCCCCAGTGCAGAGCCAGGCATTTAGTCAGTAGTCAGTCTGCAGTGGCCCGCGGAGCAGCTGACTTTGCCAGTGCTGTGCTGTTGTTGTCGCCATTGTTACGGTTGGTACTGTTGCTGCTGCTGTTCTTGTAACTGATGTTGCTAACATTTTCGTTTTCGTTGCTGCTGTTACTGCTGCTGCTGCTGGCTGGCTGCTGTGGCTGCTCTTGCCCAGCATCACTGCTGCTGCTGCTGCTGCAGATGTTGCTGTTGCTATGGCTACTGTTGCTGCTATTGCTACTGCTGCTGCTGTTACCACCATGACTGCTGTCCTTGATCATGATGGTATTGCTATTCCTGTTGCTGCTGTTGCTGACATCGTTGCTTCTGCTATTGTTGTTGCTGTTGCTGCTGCTGTTGCTATTGCTGTGGTTGTTACTGCTGTTGCTATTGCTGCTGTTGTTGCTGCTGTTGCTATTGCTATGGTTGTTGCTGCTATTGCTGTGGTTGTTACTGCTGCTGCTATTGCTGTGGTTGTTGCTGCTGTTGCTATTGCTGCTGCTGTTGTTGCTGCTGTTGCTATTGCTATGGTTGTTGCTGCTATTGCTGCTGCCGTTGCTATTGCTGTGGTTGTTGCTGCTATTGCTATTGCTGCTGCTGTTGTTGCTGCTGTTATTGCTATTGCTGTGGTTGTTGCTGCTATTGATATTGCTATTGCTATTGTTGCTGTTGTTGCTGCTGTTGCTATTGCTATGGTTGTTGCTGCTGTTGTTGCTACTGTTGTTACTGCTGCTGCTATTGCTACTGCCGTTGCTATTGCTGCTGTTGTTGCTGCTGTTGCTATTGCTGTGGCTGTTCCTGCTGTTGCTATTGCTGCTGCTGTTGCTATTGCTGTGGTTGTTGCTATTGCTGCTGTTGTTGCTGCTGTTGCTGCTGCTATTGCTGTGGCTGTTCCTGCTGTTGCTATTGCTATGGTTGCTGCTGCTGTTGCTATTGCTGTGGTTGTTGCTGCTGTTGCTGCTGCCTTTGCTGTGGTTGTTGCTGTTGTTGCTGTTGCTATTGCTGTGGTTGTTGCTGTTGTTGCTGTTGCTATTGCTGTGGTTTTTGCTCTCGTTGCTCCTGCTATTGCTGTGGTTGTTGCTGCTGCTGTGGTTGTTGCTGCTGCTGTTGCTATTGCTGTGGTTGTTGCTATTGCTGTGGTTGTTGCTGCTGCTGTTGCTATTGCTGTGGTTGTTGCTGCTGTTGCTATTGCTGTGGTTGTTACTGCTGCTGCTATTGCTGTGGTTGTTACTGCTGCTGCTATTGCTGCTGCTGTTGCTATTGCTGCTATTGCTGCTGCTGTTGCTATTGCTGCTGTTGCTGCTGTTGCTGCTGTTGCTATTGCTGCTGTTGCTGCTGTTGCTGCTGTTGCTGCTGTTGCTATTGCTGTGGCTGTTGCTGCTGTTGCTATTGCGTGGTTGTTGCTGCTGTTGTTACTGCTGCTGCTATTGCTATGGTTGTTGCTGCTGTTGTTACTGCTGCTGCTATTGCTGTGGTTGTTACTGCTGCTGCTATTGCTGCTGCTGTTGCTGCTGTTCTTGATCATGATGCTTTTGCTATTGCAGTTGCTGCTACTACTGGTGACATTGTTGCTGCTCTTACTGTTACTATCGCTACTGCTGTTATTGCTACTGCTGTTCCTGATGTTGCTATAATTGCTGTTGTTGCTGTTGCTATTGATGACATCATTGCTACTGTTTTTGTTGCTGCTCTTACTGCTGTCACTGCTATTGCTATCGCTGACATTATTGACACTGCTGCTATTGCTGCTGTTGCTGTTGCTACTGCTGCCATTGTCACTGTTGTTGATTACAATGATTTCCCGAGTGGTGTTCCTGCAGTTCTTGCTGTTGCTATTGCTATCATTGTTGCTGTCCCTGGCATTGTTGTTGCTCCTGTTGAGGTTACTGCTGTTGTTACTGTTGCTGCTGCTGCTGCTGTTCTTGCTGTTTTGGTTGCTGCTGTTGTTGTAGAGACCATGGGAGCTCAGCTGACTTGACTGTACCCCTCCACCTGGAGTCTGAGGGAACCCCCAAGACACAGGATGATTTGTGTGAGCCTCTGCTATCCACCACCTCAGACTGGACTGGTCCAGAAGCTTAGGCAGACCCAGCCCCCTCCAGGTGGAGAAGAAACCTTGAGGAGCTAGGTGTCCAGCAGCAGCCCATGCCTGATCCAATATTACTATAAATAGGAACAGGTCCAGGGTACTGGCTGGGAACCATGAAATGAAGGAAGCAGTATGTCTACAATGACTATCAGCAATATCTTGGCATTCACAAATACAAGGTGTAGAGAAAACATACAAATTGCACGAATGCTTTAGTTGAGATCTTCACTTCCTAAACTGTTGAAAAGTAAATGAACATAGGCAAAAATTATTTCTCAGATTCTATTGGCATACCTGATGATAGCAATGTCTAGATTTTAAAATCATCATCTTGTACTGATGATATACAATGAAATTTAGACTTTATTTATATTCTCTATTAAAGGGAAGGGTGGAATGCCCTAAAAAAAGGCACTTACTTAGGCCAATTCCAATTCTAGAAGAGAATCGTAGGGATGACCTCATCCACTTTAGTTATTCAACAAGCTCTGCCCACTTCCTTTATGAGCAGTGCCACCCCGAGCACATTTGAGATGAATCCTGGATGAGGCTTATACCCATTTGTTACTCCTGTTATTGATTATTCACTTTACTTCAGTTTTCAGCCTCCTCATAATTTCTTTCTCTCCCCTCTATTTTTATTTCTTATTACAGACTAAGGAAAAATAAAGAAAGGATGATTTACCTCCAAGTTAAGACGCTAGACATGCCATTAAACTAAGAAGAGAGACCATTTCTCATGCCGTGGCCTTGCTTTGGTAACGCTGTGGTTGTAAACAGAGGTTTCTTCACTCGTCACAAAGCCTGTGCTGTCCAACCTTCCTTACCCTGGAGATCACGCCAGTGGAGTTTGTTGTCCTCAGTGTAAGAATACTCCTATGGGACCTGATCCTGCCAACCTCTTCCAGCTCCCTCTATTCTCAACATTCCTAGAACAATGGCCATTTGTTTGCTGGAATTTTTTTTTTTTTTGCCATATTTGTGTTCTTTAATTTGACTTCTTTTCCCACAATAATATCAAACCAGAATACACAGGGGAACTGTGGGCCAGTGAAACAGAACAGAAAAGATCTGACAAGCAATAAAATTTGGGAGACAGAGTCTTTTTTCTTAAAGAAATAAAACACCCAGCACAATATTGAGTCATTCAGAATGTCTATAAGGAAATTTAAATAGGCCTTGCAGTATCCTAGGTGAGGAAATTTTAAAATGTATTGATTATTTAGACCTGAAGGGAACCTCAAATGAAAGAATTAGAAATACAACTTGAATAATCACAAGTCCTTCTGTGTTGAGACTGGATAAGTACAAACGTGTGATTACAACAATAGAGCTTCAGAAGAGGTCACCTGGAGCGTTGGTGGCAATATAAATCATAGATGGTAATTTTTCAGTCTGGAAAAAATATCTCAACATTTGTAGATTTTAAAATGATGTTAATATTTTATCAAAGTAAAATTGTGAATATATATTTTTTGAGACAGAGTCACTTAGTCAACCTTGGTAGAGTGCTGTGGTGTCACAGCTCACAGCAACCTCAAATGCTTGGACTCAAAGCTATTCTCTTGCCTCAGCCTCCCAAGTAGCTGAGACTACAGGTGCCCACCACAACACCTGGTATTCTCAGAGAGGGGGTCTCACTCTGCCTCAGGCTGGTCTCAAACCTGTGAGCTCAGGTAATCTACCCGCCTTGGCCTCCCAGAGTGATAGGATTACAGACGTGAGCCACCACGCCCAGCCCCTGTAGTAAATACATTTTTAAAAGCTAAATACTATAAAGCTTATAAGGAAGACAAAATTTCCTTGTCCTATCCACATCTACCAATTCCTCAGAGAAATTTTTCAACTATTTAACTTTCTTTTCCTGAGATTTTTCTACATATCTATATAACTTCTTTATGTTGACATTTTTTATTTTTTAGTTTTAAATATTATCTATCTATTGACTTTTTAATATAAAAGATGAAAATTTAGCTCTCTTCACCTTTCCCCTTATCCTTACATATAGCTTTTCTCTTCCCTTTAAACTTTGTACTATCACATTTTTATTAAGTCAGACACCGAACCTTCAGTCATTATGGCTGTTATTACACTGAGCCATATAGCGTAGGATGATTATGCATCCTTCCATTCAGAACGTTTGTTTCTCCAGAACCTTGGTTTTTATTGCTTTGGGTTTTTTCCCCATATATTCACCATTAATTTTCCCCCAAAGTGACAGAACACTAAGTCTCCTCTCAGCACATTCAGAAACATCACCCTTGGTTTCTCTTCTCATCTTTTCCGCCTTCCTGATCATTCCCAGGGCCTCCTCTTGTGTTGAATCCTCTGCCTCCTACTTCCAAGTTCATCTGTTTCTTGGTTTTCTCTCTTATTTTCAAGAAGCGCATCTTCCAATGGCTTTCAGAGAAAGAGTGCAGTGCCTGTCCTTTGTTCTCTTCTGCGGCACCAAGTGGTGAAACCTGAAAAACTGCATTTCCCAGGTGCTGTGCCACCTGACTTCCCTTAAGCCTCCACCCATGAGTAGCACTGGCCAGAGACAGGAAGGGCAGAGCAAGGGCATCTTGAAGAGGTGTCAGCAGCTGCAGTGATAGCGGCTGGTGTCTGGAATCAGGATGGAGGCCCTGGTCCTGCTCAATGGCACTGGTGTTGTTCTAACAGCTACAGGCACTGCACCAACAAGCTCTTGGGCTCCAACACAACCAACTACCACATCTTGATCTTCATGCAGAAACCATTTCCCTCTCTAGGGTATCTTCATCTTTTCTACTCTATCAATGATTTTGTAAACAAGTGCCTACATTAAATTGCCTCTGAAACACCTAGAATTGTTTCTGTTTTGCTGATTCACTGCCCATTAATACTCTGCTTGGTACTAGGAGTGGACACAGGGACTAGATGCCCTAATGTGGGAATCTGGGGGTTGTGAAATGAGGTGAGCAGGATCAAACACGCTGATGACTTTGTTTCAGTGAAGATGGGAAACTGATAGTACCTATGGATGGTATGCAGGGGCCAAACAGTTACTTAATGTATTAGCTGTGATTCCTTGACATGAAGTGCCTGTCCAAAGCCAGACTTTGGAAGGCCAAGTGATTGTTAAATTCCATCACCACTGTGGGAGTCACACACTGTGAGAACCACTGCTCTGGAAATTATAATCACAAAAACTCTAGGATAAGGCTGGTGCTTGTTCTGATTCTAGTCCAGCAGTGGCAAAAACAAAATAAGAACTTGAAGTCTTTAAAATATCAAGTGGGGGCGGCCCTGGAGTAGGGGCTGTGGCGATACGCCAGGACCCCACTGCGGTGGCTGTGAAGCTGGCGAGAAATTACTAAAGTTCCCAGGGAAGCAACGTAGAATTTACTGAGAACATTATGGATGGAGAGGAGAAAACCTATGGTGGCTGTGAAGGCCCTGATCCCATGTATGTCAAGTTGATATCTTCTGATGGTCATGAATTTATTGTAAAAAGAGAACCTACACTAACAGCAGGAACAATAAAAGCCATGTTGAGTGGCCCAGGTCAGTTTGCTAAGAATGAAACCAATGAGGTCAATTTTAGAGAGATCCCTTCATATGTGCTGTCAAAAGTGTGCATGTATCTTACCAACAAGGTTCGCTACACTAACAGCTCCACAGAGATTCCTGAATTCCCAATTGCACCTGAAATTGTACTGGAACTGCTGATGGCTGCAAACTTCCTAGATTGTTAAATAAAATAAATTATAATACCATGTTTCCCCAAAAATAAGACATTGTCTTATATTTATTTTTTCTCAAGAAGAAACACTAGGGCTTATTTTTATTAAGTATACTACAACAATTTACATTTATTCAAATACAGTTAGGTCATCTTCTTCTGGAACCTGCCAGGGGGAGCTGACCTTGTTGGTGGGGCTGGCGCTAACGATGCATGACCCCCTTTCCCCTAGCCATTTGCACATGCTCAATAGGATGCCTGTAACTGCAGTTACCACATGAGCACCCGCGCAAGTGCGAACAGCATGGAGAAAGTATTCCAGTCTTCCTTACTGCTCCGTGTCCAAATGCAGGGCGTGCATATCTGCATAGCCACGCCCATCACTAGGTCTTATTATCAGGGTAGGGCTTATATTTAACAAATGCATAGAAATCCTGCTAGGGCTTATTTTTCAGTAGGTCTTATTTTCAGGGAAACATGATAAACTGTTAATTTTTTTCAGTATTTAATACCTATAGTTCAGTTAGTAATTTTTTCATATATAACATGTTGCCTATATGTAGTTGAACTATAAAGTTCATTGCAAAACAGATTATCTTGTTTTTTGCATAACAAGCAGGGTTGAAGTTTGTTTGGTATATCAACAAATTAAGGACATTTTCACAAACAGAAATAAAAAATATGCCAATTTGTAGGTGGGTTTTGCTTTATCTTTTGGATGTGACTTTTAAAAATAGAGCAATGATGATACAGTAAATGCTGAAATTGAAGCATAAATGAACACATACTATAGGTAAAAAAAAATGAGGCTAAGTATTTTTATGTTTTTAGTGTTTTTTTAAAAACCTATTCTGGTCATATAGCCACTGTTAGCATTACCAGAGTTATGCAAATAATTGCATTATAAACATGTTTATAACTTAGCCAAAACATTGACTTTTATAAATAAGAGTTGAAATTTCTTATGTCTTTTGATAAACTGCAGTATTGTTTAAGAGTATCTTGTCCTTTTGTTTGTTGCTACAATTTAAGAAATTTATTTAAAAGCAATTTTGGAAGGTAACTAGGTATAGCTTTTGAAGCAGTAACTGAACTATATAGTTAGGTGGTCAACAAGTAAACTACATGACTTAGAATGCTTGTGTATTGTGCAATTTGGACTGATCAAAGTATCTATTTTCATTGACTATAAAGTTTCCTATGCAATTTTCAAAAAATAAAAAAAATAAAATATCAAGTGGAGGCATTCTCAGAAAAGGAGAGAGATCCCTATAATGACCCTAGAAGAAATTCATCAGATTTATGGAGGCAAGGGCAAACACCAGGGGAAAGCAGACTCAGAAATTGATGCAGTGGGTTATAGACTTGGATCATAGGTTGAACACATAGCCTCGTTGTGTCTTTTAAATGAAAGTCACATGACTGGTGGGAAGGAGGAGACCTCTGAGAAGTGAGATGCAGATACAGACTCGACTCAAATGAATCTGAAATTCTTGACCCTCAAATTAAACGTCTCTTGTGTTAGTCTGTCTTAAACTTCTGGAAAAGAATGCCTAGGGCTGGGATAACATAAAGAAAAGACATTTATTTGGCTCATGGTTCTGCAGACTGAACAAGAAGCATGGCCTCAACATTTGCTTCTGGTGAGGGCTTCAGGGAGCTTCCAATCAAAGCAGAAGCTGAAGGGGGAACAGGCATGTCACACAGCCAGAGAGGAACAGAGAGAGAGAGGAAGTGATGTCAGAGTCTTTTCAACAATCAGTAGTCACACAAACTAATGAAAATGAGGGGAAGGCCCCAAGCCATTCATGAGGGATCCATCCCCACAACCCAAGCACCTCCTACTCAGGCTCCACCTTCAACATTGGGGATCAAATTTCAACATGAGGCTTAGAAAGGCTGAACATCCAAACCACATCACCCCTCAAGAGAGAGATAAATGGTTAAGCAAATTGTGGTATATATGCATCAAGGAATACTACTCAGCAAGAAAAATGCACCAACTATCAAGACCCACA